TAATGACAGAATTCAACCACATCATAGTGGATGCAGATAATATATCACAGTTTGGAATTAAATTAGATTGTGCCAACATGGAGTGGTGAATATAATCATAGCCAATAGAATTTGATCGGCCACCAAGGGAAGTCATTAATTGGTCAAAATTGACACTGTTCGCGATTTCGATGCTGTTCGGGATTTCGATGCGTTACCTTATCAGGGAACATTAATCAACAAAGTTGCCAACACCTGCTCGAGTGACAATTGTACGAGCAAACAGCTTTTAATCTCGTGCATAATACCAAAACCCATCGTGGGTGGCTTATCCGCATATATATATATATATATACTGTATATACACACCTCTGTGGATGCAGAGAATCGAAAGTCGATGCATGTAATTTCTCAACACGCGCGATTCATAATGTCACGTACTGGACTGGTGTGTGTCATATCCGGGAGGAAAGTCGACAATATCATATGATGACAAACGAGTATTTTCACATTTCAACGACATGATACGTTGTTCTATCTCGATTGCACAATCACAAAGGTTAACGAGAATGAAATCGCTTTCGCTAGTACGAGCTCAAACGTGTACAACACGTATATTGACATATCAATTTGACCTTTTAAAAGTTGAGTTTTTATATATACCTTCGGGACTGAAACTATGACAATCCTTTGCTCTGAATTCTGAAATAGAATAAACTCCAGATATATTGTTTTAACACAGTCGACTGACTGCCCAGTCAAATCAATGACCAGCTCGGGGTGGGTTGAAGGAGTCCGCGATCTCGATGGCAAGAATTTTGTTCGCACGGATCAACAAGAGGGGTGGGTCGGGACGGAAAATTACGCAAAAAATCATCGGGTGTGTGGATTACTATGTTTCAACCACCGCCCCCCCCCCAAAAGATCTTTCAATGCTCTACTTCAATAGATTTCGCGGAAACCCTTGGAATAGAAAAGAAGAAGAATTAAAATGTATATTAATTGTTATTTCGTAATTTTATTCATATTGAAAGTGGTTCATGTTTCAATGGAAACGATTGTTTGATTTGATTATGTATTTTGCAGAATATATGATAATATTTTTTTATATTTCTAACTTTAATATATCAGACAACCCACGCTCACACACATTAAAAAACCACAAGCATCTCAATTCGAAACATCAAAAAGTCACAGCAATATACAATGTAGCAAGTCAAATATTGCGACGTACGTAGCCTTCAGTCGTGTGCTCGAGCGGCTGTTGCAAATTCCATACACTGTCAGCCACCTTGAATCTCGGGGCCAGAGTGTCCACTACGTTTTCACGCGCGTCAACCACGATGGGATGGCGTCGGTGCCCGAGGAACGACCTGATCCCTAAGATGAGCGTTTCTTCCGCCGGGTGCCCGTACATGCGCTTCAAGAACCGGTGGGCCAAGTACTTGTAAAAGGGTTCGTGGATGTCACATCCGTTGCGTTGTTGAAAACTGATTGGGTCCGGTTGAAAATTAACCTGGAGACGACAATATGGACAATCCTTATAACGACATTCCGTGTGGCACACAACAAGCAACCTTTCGAACGACCGATGGTCGTGTTGGTTTCGTCACACTTGTTCACGGTTTGCTGTTTCCGTTCGACCAGTCAATGACGACATCACGGATCGATGGATTTCCATTCGGCAACACGAGCGTACGGCGAATGCATACCATCGGCACGCACTATCGTGGACGTCAGCGACGAGCGACCCGATCGGGCACGGATCTGTCTGTGCCTTGGGCACACACGATCCAAACATGTAAAAACGACCAACCACAAGCGACGAAGGCGTGAGTTCGACTGCGGTGCAGGGATTGAGGACATCACAGACACTTGACACTGGTGTTCGCGTTGCTTGTGGAACACGGCCGTGGGGGGCGGGCGATGCAACGGCAAACCGCGGAGCCGAACCAACCGAAGAATCCTTGCCGCAGCCTAACACCAATGGCGCCAACACCCACACGTCAAACAGCATTATTACATGTGAGAGACGCACTTGTGCTGCCGTTCACGGGGGCCATTTGCTGTTGGAGAAAGCAACAGTGATGCGTACATATCTTTCTGCGGACGCGAGGCATGTGAACATCAGCGGATAGCATGAGCATGCTGTACCTCTTTGGAATGTCGTCCAGTCGAACACGACATGAAGACGCGATGGCTGTCCCGTGCGTTGCAAAGGCCAGCAATTCCCTCGCTACAACAACAGTACTACCGGTAGTACCGTAGTAGTACTGATGTTACGTGCATACAAAACCCACGTTATTCCTGGCACATAGTCAAATCAAGTGTAAATTCTAAACCACTCATTTCAGCTAGGGGTTACTGTACTGTAGTACTGGTGATGCAGCTGAACCCTGGGAGATGCGGGAACAGGACACAAACACATCACTATGAAGAATTAAGGGCCCTTGACCCCTTCAAATGGTGGTGTACCATTGTCGAGGGGATATATATGCTTCTTTATTACCAGGAACTGTGACTCTGCCACTTGCACGGAATCAAACGACGTGTACATGCGCGCGACAGTTACATATTATTATTCGCTTGAGCATATTTATGCTGATATTTGTATTAAATATGCGTATTTTTATTCATCCATAATTATTTACGTTTTGCAAAGCGATGTGCATGTCGACATGTCGAACTTTGATGAGGTTTTTCTCGAGCTGTGTCATACATAGCGCTATCCTACTGATATTACAAGATAGCCCATTACTAGCTCAGCCTATGCAGCATGGTCTGTGCATACGTAGCTCTCTCTGGCATGAGGCATCTTACCTGCATGTACACGCTTGTTCTTGAAATTCGACGAATTTGCCAAGTTCGAACTTGTCTTTCTCTACAGGTATTGATTCAGGCGACATGCAATAAGGTGTTGTAGATAGTATTAGTTGTTTTTATGAGGAATTGAGAGTTCCGTGACCCATTGCGGAGTATGCATTGAGAAATCGCTGACCTGCATCGCGCCTTTCCCGCATGTACGCATCAGGATGTATACACATCAAAAATATTGCATCCGCAAAAGTAATGAAATATCCGGAACTGCTCAGTTTCAATGTGAAACGGCGCGAATTTGTTGAATACAAGGCATCGCACTTAGAGATAGAAATCGTGTCAGTACAGCCAACAAGTTGGATGGCTGCAAAGAAACTCCAGACGTTGCTTTCACCAACCATGAATGCCTCGATTTTAGCCTTCCATAACTTCGTGTTATGATGAGTTTTCGCCAGTTCCCGCATCTGAATAGCATTGTATATAAGCGCAAGGGGTCCGGGGGTTCCGGGGGCTCTTGGTAAAAATGATTAACGTAACAACAGTACTACGGTACTACTGGTACCGTTCTTACCAGTGGGATGCCTCTTGGAAACAAAACCCTTCGAAATATAGTATTTACTGCCAGTACTTGTGATAATCTATATATTGCACGGACGATCGGAGGCCGCGCATTTGCTTCAACTTCTGCATGACAGCACGTCCGTGAACTCCATGTTGTTGATGAAAACGACAGTGGCGTCCACGAGGTTCGCTTCGTCCGGCGGCCGCACGAAGTCGCCTTGGACGACGCACACGCTCTTGCGCTTGTGCACGTTCCGGCACGTGTAGCGAAGATCCTCCCAGTCCAACACCTGGATGCGTTCCCACTGGGCGGTGGTGATGCTGACATTGCCAAGTACATACGAGGCAACCGACTGAACATCAACATCCGGTAAGGATATCCCAGTGAAAAAGACGCCAGAAGATCCAGCAAGCGGCAAAAAGTCAGCGAGAAGGACTCGTAAATTAGTTGTCAGCCATGAGTATGTCGCAGTGCGCCTGCATGCGTCTCTTGAAATCCAGCACGATCCGCCTCGCTTAGTCTTGCTGTCCGTGCTGCTTCAACAGCTTTAGATCATCATTGCTGGACACGTCGACCTGGGTTTCCATTTTGGTCGCGCCGTCCTTGATCACGAGGTTCATGTGGGTGGCGTTGGACTCATCCAGCATGACGAACAGCTTCCCCTTCGTCGCATCCGTCGCAGACACCGCCGACGTGTCCGCTTAGATCGGGGATCCGTTGCGTGAGATCGACATCTCGCCTGAGAACGGTCGATGGGGTTCGCAGCCCGAGGCTCCTTCGTCGCGACGGGGTTTCAAACTCGTTCGGACTTGCATTTGAAGGTGTGTTGTACGCAGACACGGACGACTGCCGTGCCTTGGGCCACGTTTAACGGGCCTTGGGCAGCACCGACGACAAGTCGCCCTTGGACTCGAGGAGGAATGTGTCAATCGGCATCGAAACTTCTCGGGAAGGGGCATCGTGTCTCGCATGAACTGGTTTATGAGCTCTTCCACGCACTCATCGACCAGCGTCTTGAGATTTGCATCGCTCGTCCACATGTCGCTCCAAGTCGTCCAGCCTCGCCGTCACGGGAGATTGAATGCAGGTCAGACCGTTGGCCGTATAGTATTACTATCTGTTAATACTATTAGTATTACTATCCAATGGGAAACTGTTGGTCGTTTAGTATTACTATTAGTATTGGTATTGGTACTGTATTACGATGTAAAGTTACAATCACTCAGCTGTTAACTCAAAGGTCGTGGGTTCGATCCCCAGATTCCCCGGATTATTTCCGCAAGGATTTATCCGTCCCTCCCCTGGGGAATCCGGATAACAAGGGCCGCGTACGAAGACGAGGACCGAACTTCGAAGAAGATCGGTCGAAGCACGAGGTATGAAGCGTTGAGCGTAGTAAAAACCGAAGATTACACACCGCCCCTGGTTGAGCAGGCGCGTTACAAT